TGCCGCGCAGAGCTCGTGCGGCCGGGCGCTGCAGCGAGCGCCGCGCGCCGGGGAAGGCACCGCGCGAGCAGCGGCTGCGGCCGCCGCGCGGAACCAGCGCCACGGGCACTGCCGGCCCGGCTGGCCCTGAGCCCCGCGGCCCCGCGCGCCCGCAGGTCTCCTACGTGAAGGCCATCGACATCTGGATGGCCGTGTGCCTGCTCTTCGTCTTCGCCGCGCTGCTGGAATACGCCGCCGTCAACTTCGTCTCGCGGCAGCACAAGGAGCTCGTGCGGCTGCGGCGGCGGCAGCGGCGGCAGCGCATGGTGAGTGGCACCCGCCTGGCCTCAGCCCCTCGCTCCTCATCCTCTGCTTCCTCCCGCGCGTCCCGCTCTGGCTGCCGCGAGGCTCCCTCTGCCTGCTGCACCGGGGACCATCCCGCTGCGTCCCGCAGGTGTGTGTCCTGCAGCGCCTGCACCCTGTGCCTGCAAGGGCACCGAGCACCCTCACACATGCACTCCGCACCCCAAAGCTCCCTGCACCCCCCACTGCCCATACACCCGGCACCCCAAAGCTCCCCGCACCTCCATGCACCCCACAGCCAATGCATCCTGCATCTCTATGCACCCCACAGCCAATGCATCCTGCACCCCAAAGCTCCCTGCACCTCCATGCACCCCACAGCCCATACACCCTGCACCCCAAAGCTCCCCGCACCTCCATGCACCCCACACCCAATGCATCCTGCATCTCTATGCACCCCACAGCCAATGCATCCCGCACCCCAAAGCTCCCTACACCTCTATGCATCCCACAGCACATACACCCGGCACCCGAAAGCTCCCTGCAACCTCATGTACCCCACAGCCAATGCATCCTGCACCTCAAAGCTCCCTGCAACTCCATGCACCCCACAGCCCATACACCCTGCACCCCAAAGCTCCCTGCAACCTCATGTACCCCACAGCCAATGCATCCTGCACCCCAAAGCTCTCTGCACTCCAGTGCATCTTGCACCCCAATGCTCCATGTACCCCAACGCATCCTGCACCCCATGCACCCTGCACTCCAGTGCATCCTGCACCCCAATGCTCCATGTACCCCAACGCATCCTGCACCCCAAAGTTCCCTGCACCCCAAGCAGCACCTCGGGCTCCCCAAGCTGCATCACCACCCTCCCCTGCTCCCCACTGCGCACACCTAAACCCACCCTTGGCGCTTGCACACCTATATACACTGCTATAGGCAGGCTGTGCATGCACCGCTGAGCCCCGCGCAGCCACCCCGGCTCACGGCCCCGTCGCCGCCGTCCCCGTCAGGAGGAAGAGCTGGTCCGCGAGAGCCGCTTCTACCTGCGGGGCTACGGGCTGGGCCCCTGCCTGCAAGGAGGGCCCAAGGAGGGGGCGGCCGAGGCCGCGGGGACATCGGCGGGCGGCGGGGACGCGCTGCGGCGGCGCTACGCGGACCGCGCGCGCCGCATCGACACCGTCTCCCGCGCCGTCTTCCCCTTCGCCTTCCTCGTCTTCAACGTGCTCTACTGGCTGGTCTACAAGGTGCTGCGCTCCCAGGACGCGCGCCCGGCGCCCTGAGGAGCTCAGGGCGCTCGCGAGGGACCCCCTGGCCTCCCCTGCGGGGCCTTTGGGAGCCCTCTTGTCCCGCTTGCTCCCCCCGCGCCCCAAGGAGAGCGTCTTCCATCGTCGGCACGAACTCGGCAAGTGCTCGGATGTCCCYGGCGCTCGGCAGGGAACAGGAGCASGYGCCGTTCCCGTAGCTCCTGCGTGATCCATGTGGACCCTGCGCTATCCCGCTTTGCCAGCCCTGCGGAGCGCCCGGTGGGAGCGCGGAGCTTCCCATAGACCAGAGCTGCCCTGTGGCACTGGCGTCCACAGCATCCCCGTCTCGGCCCCGGCTGAGAGGCTCCCACGCGGCACCCGTGGGGAGCTCCGTCCGCCAACATGTGCTGGGTTTTTAAAGAGCGTCAGTCTTCCGAGGAGAATAAAGTCTTTCTGGGATTTTCAGGGGCCGGGTGGTGTCTGCAGGATGGGCTCCGCTTGGGGCTCGGGCAGGATGCACATGGGATGCTCGCAGGATGCTCGCGGGATGCAGGGCGCGGGCGGCGGAGCCATGCACACCGCTCCGCGCTGCCGCCGCTCGCTGCCTCGGCCGGTGATCGTTCTGACATAATTGGCGGCGACTGTCACGTCTCATTAGCAGCCGGGCCACGGAGCCCCTCGTCCCGGCGCGGGAGCCGCCGGCAGCGGCGCAGGGCGCAGGGAGGCGGGCAGGGTCCCGCGGGCGCTCCCCGTGTCCCTTGCAGGGCCTGTCGGGGGGCACACAGCCCCCAGGGTCCCCGCAGGGGTGACACCGGCGAGGCCGTGACACCCGGTCTGCCCTGGACACCCATCCCGCTCTGTGCCGCCCACCCAGGCCTCCTGTCACCGTCACGGAGCCTTGGCCACGCGGGCGCCCCTCTCCCTGGGCCTCCCTCAGCTTTGGGTCACGTGCCAGAGCAGCTCCCAGTTTGGATGGGAGCACTGGGAGACACTTGGCTCCAGCCTCCCACTGCCCCAGTTTGCACTGGGAACATTGGAATACACTTGG